CCCGCAATTACTTCCTCCTTCAAAGTGAAACTAGAGAAATTCCCCTGAGAAGGAAGACGGGCCAACAGGCCACAAATGAAGCCACATTCCTCTCCAGAGGGAACTTTTGCCCCTACTTCAGCCCTTAAGAGGAGAAACACCTCTACCCTGCAATTTTCAGAGTCTGGTCTGGGCTACTGAGAGGGTTGCCCACTGGCAGCTGCTGGAGGGTGTGTGTTAAGTGGTGCCTTTTGATGGCAGATAGCAGTCTGCACACTGGTGAGAGCAGGTTAAAAACCCCATTTCTTTCTTCCAGATGCAAAAGGTCATCCCTGGACAGATGTTCCCTGTAAGTCTGCCAGCTCCAGTCAGAGCACAGCCCCACTCCCTCCTGCTGGTACAAGTCAGCCGGGAGCCCTGGAGTTCGTGGAGCTGCCTGTGGAGGGGCTGAGGGCAGGTGGCCATGATGGGGTCTGGGACGATGGCAGGAAGTTGCACCCAGGCTGACAGGAGAGGGCAGGCGAATGGAAGAATCCAGAGGCGGAAGCCTCACACTGGAGCATCCCCCCTACAGTGTGTGGGGGCCTGGGGGCAGGCGCAATCCCACACTGAATTCCTTATCTCTTTTCAACAGATTCATTAATCCCCTGATGGCTTACTCCATCCCTCCTGGGGGTTACCATCTTGAAACAGCAAAGGCCAACCCCATCATTTGAATTAGCCAATCGAGAAAGACTGTGTACCTGAGCTCCAATCAAGAGCAGGGGATAGTTCACGTGCATTGGGGATTATAAAGCCGAGCAGACCCCCAGCTCATGTGTGAGGACTTCCAGACCATGTGTGCGCACCCTTCTGTGTCGAAGTAAAGATGTGTGCCTTGCTGCCTGGCTCCCGAGTATGTTTTGGATTGGGACCTTCTGAATTGGGGGCTTTGCCTTCTGAATTGGGGGTTTGCCTTCTTTCTAACAGGTATAAATACTAATACAGTAGAAGCTCGGTTCTCAAACTTAAATCATTTTGGAAGGCTGTTGGAATAGCGATTTATTAAAAAACGAAATCCATTTTCCCATTAGACACAATGTAAATTGAACTAATTCATTCCAGGCCCGCAAATGATTCCCTGTTTTAACCTTTCTTTTATATGGTACATGTCTAATGTACTGTTTTAGTCTATGAACTAGCGCTTCTTTTCTTAAATGTACCTAATCTCCCCTAACCACGTTCAGCACTTGTTTACGGGTGTGTCTCAGGAAGTCAGCATGCTGCATC